GACAAAAATAGAGTCAGAATCCTAAATGCAACTTTTCACTGACTATTTCAAGTTGCAGACTGAATTAGTCCAGATTCTAAAAAGTATATGCTTTCCAACAAATATGGAAAACAACAAATATGGCTCCAGACCAGGAATGTTCAAAATACACTGCTCTCCACAAGAAAAGATATGCAAAGGAGTGCAGCAACTATAGGACCATTACACTAATTTTCCATGCAAGCAAAGATATGTTCAATGTGTTAGAAAAAATCCTACCAAATGTTGAACAAGAACTGCCTGACAGTAAAGCTGGATTAAAAAAGAAAAGAAAAGAAAGAGGTACTCGAAATCGTATTGCAAATATATTTTGGCCATGGAGCATACCAAAGAATTTCAGAAGCCTTTGTGTGGATTACTAGAAGCTATAAATGGTCCAGAAAGAAATGCATATGCTTTCAGCACCTGATTTTCCTGACATCTAATCTATATCATGAACAAGAAGCTACCGTTAGGATAGAATAAGGAGAATCAGAATGGTTTCCTATAGACAAAGGCATCACACAAAGATATATTTACTTCCATATTTTTCACTCTGTATGCAGAAAATATTCTAAGGAAAGCTGAATTAAGGTAAGAGGTGAGCATGAAAATTAATGGAAGACATAAATAATGTAAGATACGGATATATGATATGATACCATATTACTGGCAGAAAACAGCAATGAATTAAAACAACTGATAAAGTAAAAGAAAATTGAAAAACACAATTGCATTATTAAGAAATATTAAGAAAACAAAAATCATGACTACAGAAGAATTGTACAGCTTCTCTGTCAACAATGAAAATAAATCTTGGCTCAACCATCAGTTCAAAAGGAGACTGCAGCCAAGAAATCAGAAGAAAAAATGGCATTTGGAAGGACAGCAATGAAGGAACTAAAAGAAATCAACATGTTTCACTAGAGGCCAAGGTCATCCACACTTTTGTACAAGTATGAAAGATGGATGAAAAAGCTAACTGATAGAAAATTGATGTGCTGGAAACACAGTGCTGCCAGAGACCTTTGAAAATACTCTGAACTGACAGAAAGGCAAAGTGAGTCCTAGAAGCAAAAATCAAGCCAGAGCTTTTCCTAGAAGCCAAAACAACAAACTTAGGGCACATCATAAGAAAGCAAAACTTCCAAGCAAAACTTCCTGGAGAGGGCAATTATGCTAGGAAAAGTTGCAGGAAGAAGAAAAGGAAGACCATATATGAGGTAGATTTACTCCATAATGGAAGCCACAGCCTTGAACTTGCAAAGGCTGAGCAGAGTGCATTTATTCATAGGCTCAGTATAAGCTGGAGGTGATTTGATGGCACAAAGCAACAAGAACATACACATACCATCCTCCGAAGTTCACCCAATTCCACACCTACCACCCCAGTGACCCCATCCATCCATCTCAACCTCTGCCATCCCCTTCACCTTTTGTTTTCAATCATTCCCCTCATCAGGGTCTCCTCCAATGAGTCCCACCTTCTCATTAGGTGGCCATAGTATTTGAGTTTCAAGAAGTATTAGAGTTTTCTAAATGGTTACATTTGATTGAGGATGTTTGAAGACCCCTTTGCACTGGTTGACAAGAGATTCAAGACTGCCAACATGTTTAAAAGTCATTGTCAACTGTATTATTGAGCATGGTCTTTAGCTTTCTGCTTAACATTTCTAGAAAGGCTATATCTCAAAGTTCCTTTTTCAGCCTTTAATCCTCTAGAACATGCTATCTAGGCAGGAAATGTAAAACTCAACATCCACAGCAGGTCTAATAATGGGCTTTAGAAAAATCTAACCTTCAGGATGATTAACCTACTGTGTTCCTGCCAAGAAGCACAGGCTTCAGAGGTGTATGAAATCCAATAAAGAACAGAATGAAAAGCTATAAATCTAACATAGGCAAGTTATTACAGTGCTTTGCTGAGACTATCAAATCCTGTAATAGTTTCTACAAGGTTTTAAAGTTGCTTCATGTCAGTGACTGTTGCACAAAGAATTCTATGGGATTCCACCATGGTATGTTCAATTTTTCCATACTGGAAGCATCCCTCTACTTGGCTAGAAAATGCATTTGGACATTTTTATAGCCTGTTATAAGGAAAAATAATGAAAAATGAAAAACTGCAAGGTTCAGCTATGAAGTTAAGATCAGGGAGCAGATTATAATCCTTATACTACCCATGGTAGCATATCACCTGAAAGCAGCAAACCAATATATTAAAAAGCAGATGGTCATTAAAAACCTGCAAAGAGTGTTGGACAGGGGCACACTTCATACAGAAAAGTTAGCAGGGCTACTTAGCTCTTCTTCATTTACTTCTTCCTTCAGTAACTCCTTCCTGATAGGCTTGATCACCTCAGAAGGTGCAACTATTCCTGTAAACTTCATAACATTCTATTAGAAATAAGCAGGTATTGGTAGTTACCTATTTTAAAAAATCTAAATTGAAAAGGATGCAGAACAAAGGAACATGCACCTAATTGTCTACAGCTTAGGAGATATATTTCCTTCATAAGGAAATAGGATACCTGTAGATGTCATAAAGTCCTGACAAATAAACAAAATAGCTACAGTGGTACCTCGGCTCACGAACGCCTCATTTCATGAACAAATTGGATAGCGAACAGAAATTTCATAAAAATGTTGCCGCAGGTTGCAAAGTCTGCATCAGGTGACAATCACGAACACGCCCGTCTTCCCTGCACAGGCACAATCACAGTCATGGTGTGTGTGTGTGTGGGGGGGGGGGGATGGCCGTAATCTTTGTTGTTCTTTGTCACTTTGCTTCACAGTTTTGTGAATAAAAAAAATAGTTGCAGAACGGATTAACCTTATTTACATTGACCCTTATGGGGAAATTTGACTTGGCTCATGACCAATTTGGGTCACGACCAGAGTCCTGGAATGGATTAAGATCATAAGCCAAGGCACCACTGTATTTGATTTCCAATGAGAGGCAACAGAAGGCATAAAGATTTGGCTTCATGAATCAAGATTCAAATTCAAGCCATGACAGACATCCTCTTAATTGGTTGAAGCCAAAGTGAACTGTTTTCCAAACTGCCAAATTGAAGTCCAAATCAAATCTTGTGGTCAGCATACACTCTACACTTGGAACAGAAGCCGAGTGACTGCCTTACCTTTGCAAGAAAGATCCAGTGCAGAAAACTGCCAGGATGTGTACTTAGCACAGTTACCTACTGCCACTTCTCTGCTCCAACTCAGGTGACTCCCCAAGCCATTTTTCTACTTTGTATTTCCAAGTTCATAATTCCAAACTTTCAAATGGTAGGAGCACATGAGGGAGAAGAGATACACACATTTTTAGAAAAGATCCAATTATCTCTCAAACAAATATCTGAATCTGCCCAAGTAACAGATCTATACATTCTGGTCCTAAACAACCAATGCTAGTTAGCACTCCCCAAAATTCCTTTCATAGCTTATCATAGGAAAAAAGCTGAGTGGCAACATGGGGTAGGGAGTGGGAAGAAGTGACAGAGACTCAAGTTTTGCCCCAGTGCAGTTCTAATGTATAACTTTCCCCCTTCAAATTCAAATCCAGCCCTCACTGCCAACCTTGAAAGGTACTCTACTATCACTGTCACACAATGCATATTGAAAGATCAGAGCAACTTAGGCTGCAATCCTGTAAAACTTTTCTAGTTGGGGGTAAACCCCACTAAACAGGTGTCTGCTGTGTGCTGGTTATTTCCCGCCTCCCCCACCTCCTTCCAAGTAAATGAGGACAAAAGGCTTTCTAACTAAAGTATTTGTTACATTAAATCTGGCCAGGCAAGCTGCTTTTGTGATACAAAGAAGTACTGCATAAGTGAATAAATAAAGATACAAGTGAAGTTAAAATACTGGTGATTACAAGAATGTGGCTTAATGATACAAAACTGATTCCAAACTAATTACCTCTCTTCCCTTTCAAATCAAGGGAAACTGTCCTTCAGCATGGTTCTTACTTCTTATGGCCAAACATCAAGAATATCTGATGCTTCTCAATTGGCCTGCTCATTTTACCTGACAATGTAAAATTGGACTGATATTTAGCCTACCCCCACTCATCTCTGAATGCTCAACTGAGTTCTCCACAGAACTCAAAACTGTCGTGTTCCTCTTGGCTGCCTGTCTTATTTCAGAATTGGTTGGCACTGGCATTTCAGCTATGCATTTCAATCCTGCCTATTCTTCCAGTTCTGAATCTGAGACAGCCACCTTATGTGCAAAGAGCCTAATCCTAATAAAATAAGATTCTCATAACACAAGGAGCCTAAGTAGGCCACAGTTGTTGTTAACCACTTCCACACATCCTGGTCTTACGCCAGCTGATTTCCCTCACTAGACACCAATAGTTTTTATTGTCAGACCTGGCATATAGCTGGAGTGGTTTACAAACCACCCACAATCTGTTGTAAGGTTGCTGGGTTTGTTAACCACCCAGCTGCTCAACCACTCTTACCTGGTTTGGACGTAAGGGTACTTACCAAAATCAGCCTGACACAAAGTGGTCATTAACAAGCCACCATCCAGTTCAGCTACCCTCATTTCATGCAAACTGTTTCTGATAATGTTTTTGAGTAAGCATGAACAGTCCTGATCTGCATGAACATTTTTCATATATTAGGCTAAAAGCAGCCTTGTTTTAAATCTCCAATGCTAACGCAAATGTAAATCCTACATGTGATTTATCTTCCAAACTTTTCTCTTGCATAAACAATATAAATAAAGTAAGAGGCTCATGTAAGATTTATAGGTCACAAATAAAAACACATCCCATTGGTAGATGCATATCAAACTAGAAACATTGCAAACTGAAATTCATACAGTAGTTTAATCATCCCTTAAGCTGTGATTAAGTTTTGTAGGTTAAGATTCTTTTCACTCTGATGTGAAGAATGAAAACTGAAAGGGAGCAATCAAAACTAATATATGCTAGACACAGAAAGTACTTGCATAACCAAGCTACTTACCTTAGTGACACAATATACTCAGGGAAGTAAATACTTTTGTATTGGACCCAAGTTCCACAGTCATCTTCTGTCAACTCTCTGTCTTCTTCTGTTACTGAGAACAGGCTGAATGAAGCAAATCTCCTTACTGACACTTGCTGAAGGTGGACATTCTCGAAGTTTTTTTGCTTCAAAACCTTTAATAATAAAAATGACATTGAAATTTAACTGCACATAACGTAATTTAAAGGCTTAGAATAAAATCTCTACATTGAAATGTCATACAGCAAGGACCCTGTGACCTGGCAACCATCATTCACATCTTTATAATTTCTAAACTAGACTATTATAATGTACTTTACAAGAGGTTTACAGATTAAATAGAAACATCAGCTGTATATTGTGGTAAATGGGATAGAGTCACTGGGTGCTTCAGCCTCTGTACTACCTGCTACTGCTTCCCAGGGTCTACTCAAGATGCTGGGGTTGATCTATGATGTCCTTGATAATCTGAATGCAACTTACTTAAGAGGGTTGTCTTCTCTCATATTTCTTACCACATGCTTGGAAGCTAATAGCAGTTGGAGGACATTATTCATGTAAAATGTCAGCATATCCAAAGCTCACAAAAATGTTCAAATGCTTGACTTATAACATCAGAGAACACTCCTCCCGGAAACCTGTTGAAGCACAGGTATATTTAAGGTGCTTTCAACATACTTCTCTATGTGTTGGAGTCTTGGCGGTTCAGATAAAGATGACAGTATGCATTTTATCAATAATGGCCAACTAGTTCATGGGTCAGGTACATTGATCAATTTTTAATCAAGGTAATAAATGAGCTCCCACATCATGTTAAGGCACCCTGTGAATAAGCCATCATGAATTGGTTGCTTGCTGTACAACCCATGGTACGAGTACTCCTAACAGACAATAGGTCTTGAAATGGTTTGTTCTCCCCTTGATTCACCCTGCTCCCTCTGGCACATCCCAGGTGCCTTTGCAGCACTACACCTTGTTGTCTCAGCCTCGACGTTGGGACCCTTTCTTCAATTAGTCATCTGGGTGTTGCTGGCTACTGAGGAATCATTCCCTCCACTCCACTCCACTCCTCTTCCAAGTGCTATCCAAGCCCTTTTGCACACTGGACACTGTCTCAACTGGATGGCAAGCAGCACCTAAAGAAGTTATCAATTTAACTGGCATTTGAGTCCTTTTGTGCCCTGCACATTGACCCAATCAGTTCAGTCAATATGATTCAAAGAAGGACTCCAACATCGCTGTCACTTAGCAGAGCTGCTCTTCTAAATGCCAGTCAGTTCCCTTTATCTGTGCCTCTCTATGCATGAAGAAGGAAAATGGATGTAGCAGAGAAAGATGACATTAGAGAAGAAGCACTGCCCCATGACATCACCCAGCCTACCAGACTGATCATGGGGCAATTTGGCTTCCTGACAAAAAAAAGTTCACCAATCCTGCTATAAGAAAACAGGATTTAACACAAACCAGAACAAAAATGTGCATCTGAAGGACTTTGTGAACATACATGCTTCAGTTGGGACCTAAAGAAATACCTCACAGTGTCACTGACCTCCCTTAGAAGGGCACTCCAACAAAAAGGGCCCTGTTCCTAATAGCTACCTCCTTGCCACTGATGGCTGAGGAATATGGAGCAGAGCTTCAGACAATTGCTTCGAGGTTTAAACATTGCTGAAGAGAAATCATAGGATTACTGCTCCCCAGAAAGGTTTGCCTGGAGCCAATGTTATACTCTTTCCGGCACCAGGTAAAGACTTTTCTATTCAACCATTATTTTAATAACCAACAGTTTTAGATGCTTTAGGATTTTTCCCTTCACAGTCGCACTTTTTTCTTCCTTTTTCTTAAGTTGTGATGTGCTCTGTATTGTTTTAATAATTGACATTTTATATTATACTTTTATATTTTATATTGTATTTTTATATTTTGTAAGCCATCCTGAGGACTTGGCAATAGGACGGGATATAAATGCCTGTAATAAATAAATAAATACTCACAACTAGTTATGTCTGTGTAAGTTCTAGTTAGAAGGCTGAGCGCCAAAGGATTGAGGCCTTTGAATTGTGGTGCTGAGGAAGACTCCTGCGAGTCCCTTGGACCGCAAGGCGATCAAACCGGTCAGTCCTAGAGGAGATCAACCTTGACTGCTCTTTAGAAGGCCAGATACTGAAGATGAAACTCAAATACTTTGGCCACCTAATGAGAAGGAAGGACTTTCTGGAGAAGAGACTAATGCTGGGAGCAATTGATGGCAAAAGAAGAAGGTGGACAGCCGAGAATGAGGTGGCTAGATGGAGTCACTAAAGCAGTTGGTGTGAGCTTAAGTGGACTCCGGGGGATGGTGGAGGACAGGAGGGCCTGGAGGAATGTTGCCCATGGGGTCGCAATGGGTCGGACACGTCTTCGCGACTAACAACAACAACAAAGTTCCAGTTAGTGACTGCCATCTTAAATAGGCCAAGGATTTCCCTGCCAATCTATTAAAGCTCTACAATCAGATCAAATCTCTAGTTAAAAATGTAGAGGATACAGGGGACAATAGCTTGACCTACTACATTACAAAAATTCATTAACATTCTGTGGCTCCTTCATTAATCTCCTGGAAGCATGTACAAACCTAGGCTTTCTAATGCCCTGAATATATGCTGTTTAAAAAAACAAGGACAAAAAGCAAGAGGTGACAAGCCTATTCAGAAATGGCTATTATAATATTTTGAAAAGACTGAGAGACAGTCTTCTCTGCTTACATGATGCCCTCTATGTGAACTTCAAGGATCACTAACTTACCTTATACAGCCATTCTAAATGAATGCGCCCCAGGGACCAATATAACAAGCACATGATCCAGAAAAGCAAATGAGAATGGTCACTAGGGAAACAGGCAACCACAAGAAAGAAAGAAAACTGATCCACAAAGCTATAACCTAAATTCTTAGGTAATATCAACAGAAGAAAATCAGTAGCTAACATTCAGCTGAGTAGTGTTTCATTTGATAGTATTTGATGGGTATTAAAAAATCCACTTTTAACTAAGTATTTTTCCTGCCTACTGTCATCCAAAATAGAAGCTGTATTCACTTCTAGTATGTTACTGAATATTCATTTAAAATTGCTTCTAGTTTAAATTTACAATGTTATTCAACTCATCCAAAATTTTAAAAACTCCGCTCTGAAAATGAGCATTTTAACAATATTAAGCATACAAAAAAACATTGATTTCAACTTTGCTCAGGCTGCACAGCACAATATCCATTATGGAATAAAACCTATGGCAACTACTTGAGTTACTTAGGTACTTATGGAAGCAAACAGGATTACCATATGGAAGATTTGGATGCTGTTTGAAATATTACAATAGTCCACGTCACAAAATTAGGTGCATTTAAATTCATCAATATCAATGGACTTCTTGGAGTCCTCAAGGCTGTGGCTTCCCACATGGAATTAATCCATGTCATATTTGAGCTTCATTGTCATTTTGTTTTTCCTTCAACTTTCCCTACCATTATTACCTTCTCCAGCGAGCCTTGCCTTGAAATGATACCTAAAGTGGAATAGCCTCGGTTTTGTCATTTTTGCTTCAAGGGAAAATTGTGCCTTGATTTCATCTAGGATCTACTTGTTCGTCTACCATTACAGAGTGATCACAAAACTCTCCTCCAGCACCATGTTGAATGTTTTGAAAGAATGACAGCCAGTGTAGTGTAGTGTTTAAGAGCATGGGACTGGGAATCAGGCAATCTGGAGTCTAGTTCCTGCTTGCCCATGGAGGCAACTGGGTGACTTTGAGCCAGGCACAGACTCTTGGCCCAACCTAGCTCACAGGATTGTTGCTGTGGGGATCAGATTGAGAACAGAAGGATAATAATGAAGAACGACGGAGAACAATGGATGGAGGTTCGCAACATTGTACAGGAGGTAGCAACTAAAACCATCCCAAAGAAAAAGAAATGCAAGAAAGGAAAATGGCTGTCTGAGAAAGCTTTACAAATAGATCAGGAAAGAAGGGAAGCAAAAGGCAAGGGAGAAAGGGAAAGATACACCCAACTGAATGCAGAATTCCAGAGAATAGCTAGAAGAGATAAGAAGGCCTTCTTAAATGATCAGTGCAAAGAAATAGAGGAAAGCAATAGAATGGGAAAGACTAGAGATCTCTTCAAGAAAAGAACGATTGACTGCAAAAGGAGGAGGAGATGGCAGAGGATGAGGTTGCTAGATGGAGTAATTGGGGCAGTGGGTGTGGACTCCGAGGGATGGTGGAGGACAGAAGACCTGGAGGAATGTTGTCCATGGGGTTGTGATGGGTTGGGCACGACTTTGCAACTAAACAATAACAACAAGCTGCTTTGAGTTCATTTTAAGGAAAAGGCAGGAGATAAATCAAATAAATAAATAACAGTTTTCCTCCTGTCAGCTTTCTTCATTGTTCAGCTTTCACGTGCATACATAGTCAACAATGTATGATCTTGGTCTTGCTCTCCAGTGAAATGACCTTACACTTGATTATCTTTTCTACTACCTTCACTGCTAACTTTACTTATTTTGTATCCCACTTTTTTCCAATGAGCTCAGAGCAGCTTACATAATTCTCCTACTCAATCTTATCCCCACAATAACTACTCTGTGTAGTAGGTAGGACTGAAAGTCTGTGACTGGCCCGAAGGCACGAAGATGGCTCATTTTCTGTATTTTTCATTATTTCTTGGCTGCAGTCCCCCTGTAATTTATGATTGAGCCAAGGTACACAAAATCTTTTCATAATTTCAGTTTCTTCACTATTGATAGAAAAGTTCTGTAATTCTTCTGTAGTCATGATATTTGTATTCTTAATGATGCAGACCTGCTTTTGTACTTTTTTCTTTCACTTTATTCAGGAATTTCAATTCACTGCTGCTTTATTGAAGTATCTTCTGCCATTTTTACTCCTTCTTCCTCTGATCACCTCATTATGATACCTTTTCCATATGGACTGAACAGATTGGGTAATAAAACACACCCTTGTCTGATACCTTTGCCTATAAGAAATCCTTTTGTTTCTCCATATTCTGCCCTAACAATAGATTCTTTTCCACAGTACAGGTTATGCATCATGATTAAGTGTTGAAGTACACGCATCTCTTTCAAGAAGGCTATCCATTGCCGCTTATGATCCACACAA